AATGTTATTTTATCATAAAATGTGCGCAAGTTGATACATTGAAATTTTTTTCTTCAAAGAAGGTGCAGCAAATTCATCAAATTGTCATTGCCCCCAGCTGTGAAAGTTGGCAGAAGTTGGTAAAATGTAGTCACAGTATAAGGATATGCACACTAGAGAGCAGTCTGTTCCCTTTATCTGTAGTCGTCGTGATCCTCCACACACACACACACACACACACACACACAGCATACTGTTTATGTCAAAGAACCCAGGAAACACCACATCTATCACTGCACTAACTTACACAATGAATACCAGACAAACCACACACACACACACACACACATACATATATATATATACTGTATATATATATAATGTGGCCTTCTGTTCAACAAACATTTTACATCACATAAAAACACAATGAAGAATACTGTATGTCCAAATCCTCCTGTAAGCTGGTAGATAATGTCTTTAATGAGTCTGGTAACTGTTTGATTTGCATTTTAATTTCAGTAAGCATGGTTTCTGTGATTGTTGTTGTTGCTGTCTTTAGTGTGCTTGATTCGGTGAAATGAGGCATCATTCCTCAGTGAAAGCCAAAGAGTGAGAAGCAATGAGAGGCATAGCTTTAGATCTTTGAAACTCTGCTTTCTTTACTTGGATGGTACACCAATAGTGATATAATAATATGAAAGTATGCTAACTGATTAAAATGTAATAGATCATTTGAATCTATTCACAAATAGGGTAGGGGGAAAGAAACTACACTGATAGCGAGTCAACACAGTGAATGATAAAACAACAAATATGGTTAAAACACAGAAGAGATCTAAAATTCAGACCATGGATTTTACATTGGAGATGTGATGCAGATATCCCTCTGCCCGGGTCTCTTTTTTTTTTTCGTATTTCATTTTTTTTTGGTTCAACACACTGCAGAGACTTAGCTCTCCAGTCCATGAGCGCAAAGACTGCAGCTATTGTCATCCATCTTCTCTGACAGGCTTCTCACATACAAATGAGTTTACTGTGAATAGCAATTCATTTATTTAAACAGTTTTTTGTAGTTTACAAAAGAAATAGATTATCTTATATCATTTTTTCTCCACACTTGCACTTTTTAAACATATTTTACACAGACTTTTATTTTTACATTTTTAATCCAACTTAATCAAGAATTTTTAATATTTTAAATGCTTGTCAGATATTGTTTACCATAATACAAATGGTCTTTTTTCTTTTTCTTTTATGTGTCCCCAGTTTATTTTAAACAATAATTAAATGTTCTGAAGTAGAAAGACATGTTAAAGCTCAGTTATCCATCCACGAGAGAAAAGCCTCAGTGCCCATAACATATTCCTCTCTGTGTTTCTGCAGAACATCAACAGGTCTGAGAGTCAGGTGCCCATTATGCCCTGTGGCCTCAAATCAGCAGTAGATAGCAGTAGCAGTAAATCCACCACAAAATAGTCAGCACACTCCTTCCACATCACAGTGAGAAGCTGTGTAAAAAGTGTCCAAAAGATCCCTTTATTCCTTCTGTCCCACAATATTCCCCTCCCCAGTGTATCCAAAAAAGGGATGTACTGTATATCCAGAGAATCACAGGTAAAGGCGTACTCACAAAGCATGGTCACACCTCACATTCCCGAGAAGGTTGCTGTTGGCAAGTGCAAGAGCCATATTCATTGATGATTACCAGAGCTCCCTCGATGTGGTTAGGTTTATAGTCAACATAGTACTCCGGAGTAGAAATTGCAGCCATCTGCTGCATGCTTTGCTTTTGCTTCTGCTTACGACGCTGACTGCTGAAGCACTGCCTCAGTTGTCTTATTCCGGCCGGAAAGCACTTCCATGCCACATACAGCATGAGCACTATGATGAGAAAGGAAAAGATGAGTGCCATGGTGCCAGTCACCACCTTGTGAATCTGCATGGTGCTCTCCAGGTCATCATGGCCCACTGTGACAGTGAAAGAACTGGTGACCACCTCACCACCCTCACCATCATAAGGGTTGGGAGTAAATGGGCCCAGGAACACGGAGCCACCCTGGGCCAGATCCCTTGTAGAAGCATACAGGCCTGCTGTAGTTACGTCCACTGGGGGATCCTCACATAGCTGAAAAGCATAGACAGCGTCCATCACGTCCTCACCCTGTGCGGTGTCGGGGCTTGAACACAGCAGGGAATTGTCACGCTGACCTCGGAAGGCACTCAGCCAAGAGGCCAAAGCACACGCGTTGCGACTGCACTCCCAGTCATTCCCCGCCAGGGTAATGCTGTCCAGAGATGACCATGAATCCAGGATGCGCTGATCCACATAGGTCAAACGATTGGAGTCTAGCATGAGCACCCTGAGGTTGGGTGTACTCTCAAAAACATGTGGTTCAATGTACTCAATTTCATTAGCTGACAGGTCAATCTTCTCTAAAAAATGCCATGTCCAGTCCAGGGTATTGACAACAATAGTGGCACGATTATTGTGCATGTACAGAGTACGTAATGAGATGAGGCGTGGAAAGTGGGCTAGGTTGACTTTAACCAGCTCATTGTGCTCAAGATGCAACTCAGTCAACTTGAAGAGTCCAGCGAAGGAGTTTCGTGCCAGGCTCTGCAGTTGGTTGTATCCTAAGTCCAGAAACTGCATGCTACGGCAGTCTTGAAAAATCCGCACTGGCACAAATTTGAGAGCATTGTAGCGCAAATGCAAATTGGTGAGCTTTCTAAGGCCGTGGAACAGGTCGGGCTCTAGTGCCTGCAGCCTGTTGTATGAGAGGTCCAGGATACGCAGGTTTGGGAGGGGCCTAAAGGTACCATTTGGCAGATTCTCAATCCGGTTGCTGCTGAGGTCTAACTCCTTGACTCGTCTTAGCCTATCAAATGCACCCTCCTCTACCGTGTCAATGTTGTTGTGATCTAAGTAGAGCCAGGTGAGCTGTGACAGACTACTCAGCTGGCCTTCACGCAGCTCAGTCAAGTTGTTCTCTCTCATGGACAGGCCCATGGCGCTGCTCAGATTGCGGGGAATATCTGTGAGGTTGAGCCCCTCGCAGTACAGCAGCTTGCTGTCGCAGCGGCACAGCCTTGGACAAACCCCGTCTACCAAGGGAACTGTTCTTAGAAAAATGCCCAATGAACACAGTATCAACCCAGGGGGCTTCTTCAGTGGCCACTTTAAGTACAGTCCAATTAGAAGGAAATCCATTAGCATAAATATCCAGGGATGCCACTGAGAAAATGTCCATTGAACCACTCTGGATATTATTTTGCACCTATTACATTATATTTATCACATCATATTTAATGAATTTAATAATTTCTTTAGTTTTTGTATTTTAGCTGTAGACAGTGATATTATATATCTGTTATTTGATCAACCAAGGGAATCCGTGGCAAAAATGTAAAGGAAAAAGGTCAAGTCTCTTCGCTTATGTTAGATATCAAGCAGTGAGTGGAGAGTAGAGGGGCTGAAAAAATAAAATACTGTTCTCACTGATTGATCTTATTTGAAAAGATTCCTACTCACCCCTATCCAAAAGCTGACAATCTCCATTCAGCGTCTCGCTTTGTGCCCCAACACTAATTATGTGCGAATCTAAAAAAGACCCCACTGTGGTACAAATTCTCCCCTCCCTTCTCTCTTTTCAGTGGACACCAGATCCTTGGCAGGCTTACAATGTCTTAGTTCTCCTCAAGTGAAAGAGCCAGAAAGAGAAGGAATCCAAGTAGCTTTCATCGAGATGGTAGGAAGTGCAAGTTCCCCTGTCTGCATGCATGAGCTCTGTCTTTTTTGCTTCTCTGCAGTCCTCTGCTGCAATGATCAGAGGGGAGAAGAGACAACCCGAGAAAGAGAAGGAAAAATACAAAAACGTTTTAAAATACGCCTTGCTCCTTTCTCTTCCCTTTCCTGCTTAAGTTTCAGTAGATCTGTCAGCACATATTATCGTCCATCTCTGGAAGCAGTCACTGACTTGTAAGGTTTAAATCCATTCAAGCGGGTAATCATGCTTTCAGTGATGGATGGAAAAGGGAAAAAAGGATTTAAAGAGGTGAACCGTGTTCACTGTTTTCTTGTGTAACAATATTCCTTGTCATCTCTGTGGCTCATCTCGGTTAAGAAGCCAGTCGCATCCCCTGCGGCTTGCAGGTTTCGTTCACTCCCTTGCTCTCTGGGTGTTTTCTCAGCCAGCTGGAAGAGGCTGCTGAAGGCTGGTGCTGGTAAGTAAGCAAGGGCAGTAAATGTGGGAAGCAAAGGAGCATACAATCTCTTGCAGCAGACCAGTACACTGACAACGCATGCAGAAGCACCTTCTGTTCACTGAGTGTCGTAAGCCACTCACAATTCAGAGTGCTCGCTCTCTGTCTCTCCCTCACTCTCTTTCCTGCTGCTCCCCTCCTCTTCTCTTGCTGTGTTTTTCTCTGTGCCTGAGACATTTACATATTCAGAATGGGCTGGGCTTAAACCAGCAGCTTTAATGAACGCAACCCCCACCTCCCTCTATCTCTCTCTCTCCCTCCTTCCCTCACTCTCTCCTTCACTGACTGTAATGAATTTGCACCATATAATGTCTGCCTCCTTTGGCATTACTGTGAGAAAGCATTTTTCTAATTTCAGAGATGCAAAATGACATTCATTCAATAAACGAAAGGGTGTCCTATATAGGTTACACACCTAAAGCAGGGAACCAGTTGCATGCTTATAAACAATCAAGAGAAGCCACACAAAATCCAAAAAGAAATAATTAAAATTCACCTTATTCTCTCTCAAAATCAAAACTGTAGTCTCATAATACATGACAGTAATTAATTCCAACAGTGATGGTGCAATATAAATGTACTCATTATATATGTGTTATGGTTTTCAAACATGACTTTGTGTCATGACTCACTCTGAGTCTATTGATATTCACTCTTTATCCTTGCCATCACCAAAGGCTACAGTATAATGAGTCAAGACTAGAGTATGACATTGTTCATTTGATCACACTGTCCTGTAGCCAGGCATGCTGTGTCATTGTCAATTAGGGCTAGTTTTTCCATGAATACAGATGTAATAGCTTGCCACATAATATTAGCACAGAACTGTAACATACGTCTTCCTCTCTGAGGGTCCGCTCTCGCCTTGTTTTTTACATCTCTGGAATCAGTCCTAGACTTGTCCTCATTGTTCCATTAATTTTCAAATACAATAGACTGTGACAGTCCCTTATATTCCTCATATCATCCAACTTTCTAACCATCGGACCATTTTATTTGTACTTTATTGTATTGTTACTGACAGATGCCACAACATGGATATCAAGCCCTTTTGTTCATTGGTGTAAAGTAAGGAATTTACATTATTATGACACAGTGGGCTCTTTTTTTTTTTATTTTGACATAATTAGCTGTTATTGCAACCAGCAATACCATTTGTTTTTCTGTTGCTAAGGAAGAGCTGGTTGTTTTTCCCCTCTTGACAGGTAGAGTTAATATTATATTTATATTTGGAATACTGACTAGTGCAACCAGAGAATCTCATAAGTTCCATTAGATAGATAAATAGACAGAGATAATAGAAAGTTAATTTATTGACCCAGATGGGAATTCAGGTATCCAATAGCAACAGCAATGATTACCAAAATCACAGCACCCCAAGTAAAGAAATGTATAAAAGTGTAAGACTAAAATACAAAGGGGAGAACGTTTTTTTAAAAATATGAGAAATATTGTAAGTATTAAAAAAAGACTATGGGAAAAAATATATATAAAACTAGATCTAACAATAATAGTAATGTATTTTATTTATTAACTCTTTGTTTACTCATAGATAATTTACTTAATTTTCATAGCTTCAGAATTATTTTCAAACTTTATAATGCTAAACTGAGTAAAGGCTAAATCAGAGTTGGGTTGTGTGCTGTAAACACGGATGTTTATCATGTCACTGTCTCCTCATGTGTCACTTACTCTGATCTTGTTTGGGTTGGAGCATTAGCATTAGCTGTAGAATAGCTGGCTAAGTGAAACCAGGTTTTTTCAGGAGGTTGAAAATTTTACTGATTTTACTGTACTTAAATCCAGTCTTCACTGTATGAATTCAAAAGCAAACTATCCCACGTACTAATTCATAAGAGCTAAATTCAAAGTGCTGCAGGGACCCCAGTAGTAGTTTAGACCATTTTAAGTGCATCTCATCAAACACAAACCCCCTCACCCAAGGGTACAGTATAACCAATTGCTACAACAGCAATACAGGCCTTTCTGACTGTTACAATATCATCGTGTTTAAGATGTTGTGTGTGATGCAAACCATGGCTATTTTTCTCCTACCAAGCTTGAAACGAAGAATCATGGGTTTAGATTTCATACAGATTTCCGGTGTTGACTATATACTGTACTAATCACTCAGTAGAAATGTCTTTTCATATGACATAAGCAAGTAATGCAGTGCAAGGTCACCTGTGTCAACATATCTCTCTCAGAATTCAACTCTTCAGTACTCAAGTACCTTATCTATAAATTTTTCGTCAACATTTGACTATTATCAAGGATACGAACTTGTCACCTTGTGGCAGAATTTGCAGTTTATATGTCCAAGTTGGTCACCCACATGAATCGTGCAGATCTGCAATACAAAGTATATATTTTTTCTACTTTGTTCTGACCCTGTCTACCATTAGCTTAACCCTGTCTGCCACCCATGCCACACAAGAGATGAAATCAAGTCTGTGCATGAAGTAAGATGTGACTACTTTTTAGCCTTGTGTTTCTTTGGTTGTTAGATTTTTATTATTAGGAAAGCTAATTTCCATTTAACAGACAGGACATTCTGCCATTGTCAGATCTATCAAAGATGGATGATGGATGAGATAATGTGAAAAAGTCCAGTACCAAAACAAACACAAAACTTCATTAGATATCAATAAACTTTCTCAACTAATGCTAGCGGATTTTGCATGAAAATATACTATCCCAAGAGCTTATGCAATTTGTTATTTCTCACTTTTTATTTTGAAATACTCAGTGAAGGTTCCACAGTGACAAAGATACTGTATTTAGAGCAGCAAAGGAAAAGGATGAAAAATGGTGTTTCACGTGTTTGTGACATCTTGAAGTTTGACTCATCCCTGCTTCTCTTTTGTTATATTTCCTCCTAGCTGTAATGGATGACTAAACCATCAGCTAATGACTTGGTGCCTATAATGACTTGACACAGCGAACAGGAGATGAGAGTATCCAGACCATCATTTTTAAGATTTTAAGAGCTTTGGCGTTAAGGTCGGGACAAATGTGTGAAAGTGTGTGACCACGTGTGTGTGTGTTCATGCAGAAAACCACACATGCCTGTTGACAGACTTACATGAACGCATTCGTAAAAACAGTTCACTGTGGAAAGAACAAAAAGTTAAATTGCCATATCAGTGCAACAACAACATGATTTTTTGCTGACTTTACGTCTCACCACTACTTAATTTAGAAAAGACAACATAGCCCTGCACCCTCAGCATGCTCTCCTGTATTTTGCTGACTTTTAGAAGACAAGCAGCCATGGATCGAAAGTTTGAATTTATGACAATGTTGGTCTGGTTTTGTTGCGTAACCAAACATGCAAAAGTTTAAACAGTTTCCCAAGCAGTAAAGAATGATTTTATGCCCCTAGCTAATTATGTAATCATTTTATTTGATAGTCTTGGATAGTTTTTTTAGTACAATGATTGGAGGTTGTGGTGTATTGTTAGCAGCCTGAATTGATGTGAGGGATCAAATAAGACTCAGAGCTATCAGCATCTATGATTACGGGCCCATTATTTAAATCATTTATTGAATCAGAGGATGTCTGACTGTGCATGCCCAACAAAACAAGGAAGATGATGACTAATTGGCCCGCTGCAGAGATAATGTTGATGGGCAGCTGGGAAAGGATTGTGCTGGGGGTCGGTGGAGACACTTGCACCATAGAGTGTCTGTCAGTAGTGTGATGTGGAAACAGCAAGAGATTACTCTACATCCGCAAGTAAGTACGATCCCCAGGAGACACAGGTTTCGCCCAGTTTGTAAAGGTCTAAACTGGACAGAGAGGCAACACAGCTAATTCATTTCAGATTTTGTGTTTATTTTCTAATCTTTTGGGGGGGTACTGTAGATGACATAATCCCATTATATAATCAGCAACTGAGAATGAATCAAGGAACAGAAGAAACATACTAGATAAACTGAGATAACCGTAGGCATTTTAGATTTTTACCATCACTGTCTTATCTCAGATATTTGTCATCTAAATCAAACATGAACATTTATGAACATTTGAAGACGCTAACACAGTGGAGTTTTACCCTAGTATAGTTTCTGGGGTCTCCCACATATAATACAAAAAAAAATTCTCCTCTCTCCATCGTATACTAACTGCATAATGTTCACTGAAGCATGTGACACCGAGAACATGTCGACTGCTTAAACAGAAAATATCAGTACAGCACCATCCTTATGATCTGCCCTTGTTAGAGGCTTTAGAGGTGGGAGCATGTTTAGGTTGTATTGAGAGAGGACTTCTAAAGCAACACAGATGTCAAGCCTACAAAAATTGATATTTTGTTTAAAGTAATGTGGTGAGGATCTGCATACACTCTATCTATAGATAGAGAGAGAGAGAGAAATAAAACGAGCAATTAAGAA